TGGCGACGCTGATTGGCACCTTTCTTTTAAAGTAACCTTAAGTGATAGTTTGAATTGAAGTGTGGATTTCCAATCTCGATATTGTTACAATTTAAATCCTTTGCTTACACATTCTTATGACTAGCATTGTCTAGTTCCGGCCACACCTGTACGTTTACGACTACAATAATTTCAACACGGGGGCACGGGGGCACGCGACCAATTACCCCCAGCCCGCTGTAAACCGCAACAATCTCGCCCGCGCCTAATGAAATTAAATTAAGAATAACGTAATACTGCGCGGGTGCGGTCGCAGCTCACCTCGTCCCCTACCCTGCCCCGCGTCATCCCTCTGCCCGCGGTACGTTGCGCCACCTCGCGGCGACACAACGACTCCATCTTTGTTTTGCACAGGATTGATGGTTATTATACAATCTTAAATGCAAATTAAGTTATACAAACCATAGTTGTGTTCCGCTCCATTATAACATAAAAATACATTTCCGGTAATAAGTTTTTAATCTATTTATTTAGTAAGTGTTACATAATTAAAAGATGTATGGAAATAGAATATGAGCAGATATAGTGATAAATGGAAATTTATCTCTGCTCAGCCTTTTCCGCTACGGCCGCGATATTCTTACAAAAGCACATCAATGGAGATCAATTTACACCTCCTCCTAGAAGATGCGATCTGAACCTAACAGTTAAAGATGCTATCATTATGAAAAACATTCACATGAGATATACATCCCATTTGTAACGATTTGTTCACGTAGAGGCATTAACAGTTTTCGTTATAATATTGAACAAACTTATAAAGTAGAGAGCTGTTATAGTTTAATTGTAATTTAAAAGTTAAAACTATAACTATTAACAATTAAAATAAGGTATTGCATATCTTGTGAGTTTGGCCCGCTGCCCGTCGCCCGTAGCACGGCGCCCGGCGTCCTCTTGCGAGCTACAAACTGAGAGCAAAGATCGACTGACAAATGTCTACAACTTGTAAGAACAAGACTATATTCCAACTGCGACAGACTTTTATATGTAGCCTAACATTGTATCATACGTCAAAAACGTAAAATTTAGAAAACAAATGACGCAAGCATACAACTAGCTAAAGAATTCTTCGATACATCTTGTCTTACTATTATTATAAATGCGAAAATTTAGATGGATGTTTGTAAGAGTTTTTAACCTAAACTGCTGAACTGATCTCGATGATATCTGTATTTATTTATTTAATTATTTATTTTCATGGAAGACCAACAGCTATTACAACAAAGTAGGTATAGTGGTAGTTAAAGTGTACAGCCAATAACAGGTCTCCACTAATAGAAGTATTTTACAAGAATGTAGAGGTTAGTATGAAAGAAATTAATCATAAATAAACATGTCGTCGGTGCCTTCTGAAACACGTAAATTAATAACAAAAACTTGGAGTTAAGTAAGTGGACAGCGCACTGTAATGCCGGACGTCGTCGGTGCACGCTCCGGGATTAACTGTCCTATTTGATGTGCCGGCATATTACTGATGTCCTAACTTCCCACACTTCATGCTGCCATACTACACGTGTACTTTTGATAGCTTCGTAGTTATGTAACGGTATTAAAAACTACAGCACGGAGAGACACTTTGACAAAAGGACTAGGCACAACCACGAACGTCGCCAGCAGATGATTGAAGTCTTAGCTCATTAGGTCTTTTTTAAAGTAGTTTTCATGTATATTTTGAATAGTCTATGGTTGGGGGCGGCTTCTCCTTGCCTCCCATGGGGTACAACCAGTCACAAGTAGAGCGATAGAGCGATATTTCTTACATAAAACGGGATCATCTCATTCATCTCATTAGCGTAAGTATAAAACTAAAACGAAACCTATAAAAGATAAATAACTAAATTCAAAGACCCATATAATATTGTAGAAGATCAAATATCGCAGTAAATCAAGTCTCATATGTTAGCAATGTTAGCGTATGTGTGTAAGCAGCCTTATGTTATCAAAGCACAGGTGTGGTGCGTGTCGAGTGATAGCGTATCGCTTCATTACGTGCGATCGCTTGTCGGCGACACACGCCGCGGTATCGCCGCGACATACGCCGCCAGATAACACACTCTTGTAATGATTATAATTATACGTATAATATTGTAATGTTTGGGCATTTTAGTACTTCGATGACTGGGATACATACGTTTTGTTACAGCACAGACACTATACACCCATCAGAATGCGCTAACAGTGCGATAAACACTATTCTCTTGCTGTACACTAACTCTGTTTTGAACAGTTAATCTCACTCCGGCCTTCCTCTAAGAAGCTTGCCATTTCCTTACGAAGTTCGTGTTTCTAAACCGTGTGTGAAAATGTGCTACTCACTTGTGTCAATGAAAAGATGACAAACGGCTTAATGGAATTAACAGACATGCAAAAAATATGTTTGTTATCGCGTACCACATAAGAATGTCTGCATTTTCTGTTGAGCTCGAGTCTCTCAAAGAGCCCGAATTTTAAGTAGTGCGACTCTTGCGGACGACAATTAAAACACGCCCGTGTTTACCTCGCCGCAACCAGCGCGCCATATTTCCTTGACACGTGTACACCCTGCCACCAAAGTTCACCAATGTACTTACAAGTTGACACGGCATTATGATCTCTATTCGGGTACAACAAGAAGTCATTTCCTCGTGCACGATTTAACAATGAGGTGCACGACTGGCCCCCCTACTAATGGAGGGAGGGTTATTTGCAGACGATGGAGCGCAGATTTGGCGTCTATCGTTACGTTTGCTTGTCGACAACGGAATGAATCGCTTTTCTGTGTGTTTACATTATCATGTAGCTGTTACCTTCGTGTTGCGTTATTGTGCAAAGATTACATCAGCGTCTTTGCGTATCAATTTTATTAGGATCTATAGGCTTTTTATTAGGACAATGACTACTATACACAACATTCTTTTTTTTTTTTTTACCAAAACGCAGAAAGTCACGCTCCATTTTTGACCGACTTCCCAAAAGACGGAGGTACTCAATTCGTCTGTATGTTTTTTTTATCATAAAAATAACTTAAAAATGTCTATGTATATTAAAACCTTTTTGACTTTAGATTAGCTCAAAGAAGAGATTTGGTTTTTCGAAACCAAAACCAATCATTCGCTGCTTATGAAAGTTTAATTGTAATAGTTAATGAATCAGTGAAAACGCATTAAGCAAACAAAATTAATAGACTTATGTTGAAATAGAGAGTGGGCAGAACAACAAGAAAGTAGTTCTATATAGCGCGCAGTACATAAGGCTATCTCCCCTATTTTTCACTAACACGCAAAGCAACAAGCTCGCCAATATGTACCCGCGTTAGCCTCCCCGTTCGCTCCTCGTTAGTCCCCCAGGGCGCGGGGGAGGGTTGAGAAGCGGGGGAGGTCCCCGGGGAGGAAGGGGTTGCAAGGGTTGTGCGGTCGCCGCTGTCTGTGTATGAGTGCAGAGATTTTAAGCGCCAAGATAATTGTGTCAGGGTTGGGCGTGTAATTGTTATACGCTGTTTTAGTGCCGTAAATGTTTTCGAAGTTCGTCAAGATGTAGATACGTGCGGCGTGCGGGGGGTGCGCGCGGGGTGTGCGGGGGGCGCTGGGGACGCGTTTGACAAATTTTAATTAATTTGATCGCAGCTACGCCTTTGAATAATTAAAAAGGTTATTTGTGAAATCTCCAGCGGAATCTGGTTGTAATAACTTTACGCTATAAACGTAATACTAATGTCTGGCAGTGAGACTCGGAGACACGGGGACGCGGTGGTAATGTTATATGTATAATTAATTTTGTCTATATTTATATGAAAAGTATCAAATTTGAATTGTATAATGTTATTAGTATGTTCTTTTATAAAACGCGAAAGGTATTGAGATCACTTTACAACACAAACCGTAGGGAAATCCAACTGTCAAATATCGATATTCGGTAGGAGACTAGGAGAATAGAAGCTTCCGTAAATTGAATTCGTTGGCATTGAGCTCCGGATTGATTCATATCCCACTCCAAATAAATATTAATGTTCCTCCGCGGTGGGTTAATGCTATGCTGCATTAATATTAATGCAATTTTTACGTTAGGCTAGTTTATTTCATGTCCACGGTGTTTCGTGAACTGCCGCTATGAGAGTTACGAGCGCCATCTATCAAGAACTGTCCTACATTTGTTTTATTACAACAACTATTTGTTAACCTAATGTAATACATAATATTACACAATAATAAACATATAGTGGAATAAAACAGGTAGCAAGTTTCAGTGTCAAATGAAATATATTTATCCAAATAACCAGTTTATCAACGATGTTGCTTCATTTTGCGCAAATCACGTGTCGTAGTACTATGGAAATGTGCTTGTAAACATAACCCAGCGTGTAGAAACACTGACTTTTAACGAGTACCTACATGACTTTAAACAACACATTAACTCACGGGCTCCTGCGTAAGCCTCGCAACATTGATTCCTTCTGCAAGCCTCACTAATGTAGACATTACAGCAAAATTAAACTCTATTCGTACGATATAAGCTAGCAATTTCCCCGGCACATCTCGGCACACTTTAATGCAATGTATTTAGTGTTTTGCTGCAGTTGTAACAGAGTTTATATTTACTTGTTTGTTTTGTCGTGGTGTTTGGCTCGGGGTGTCATTTGGTGAGACTATAGAGGTAAGCTTCAGGTTTGCGAGTCGCTTTGTGTCGGAGCTCGGAGCGAGGTCGGGAGGCAACGAAACACGCTGTACTGTCGTGTACATTTAGAAGCTATTTTGCATATTTGTTTCAAATAAAAATGCATCACGTTTGTTGTGTTGTTTAGTTGGAAAGGAGCATAAATTTACTGCTCATGCAATTGAAGTTAAGCTTAGTACAATTAAGTCTGAAGAATTGTTACCGAGCGTGAAAAACGATGACCACAAAACATCCCGATGTTTTCATCGTGTTGAAGCCACGAGGCCGAGCTCCCGCGGGACAGAGGGGGGAACGGAGGAAGGAGGAAGGGGAGGGACAGGAAAAAATAATGATAAAACCGTCTCCATCGGGAGACATTTGCGGAAAGTTCGTCTTCCATGGACGAGCTGCTGCCGGCGCTGCCGCTTTAGTACTCTTGTGATGTTAATAAAACGATTCTTTATTTATTTTTATATTTCTGAACGAATTGTTGATACATTTCTATTTGATAGTATTTTGTGGTCAGTAACCATCAGTTAAAGATCTCAATCTAAACAGATTACCTGTTACGTTGTAATGTTATCATCAAGCATTTCGATTTTCACGTGGTTCGTTGCTTAGTAACTCATCACGGCCATCAATTACGTCTTTTGAATAACCCTTGCTATTCGAGAGCTTGATCAATGACAGGTTTTCTAGAAGACTAAGTACTTACTTATTAGAAAAATAGCCCTTTAACGTTTGTCTTCTAAAAACCGACTAAATTACTATGTTACAACGAGTATTTTCCTTGTTTAGTGAGCAACGGCGCGCTGAGCGCGTGTGCGGCGCAGGGCGGACTTGACAAGGATGGCAAGAAGAAGCACACACGACCCACCTTCAGTGGGCAGCAGATCTTCGCGCTGGAGAAGACCT